CTGATAACCCAGTGAGGTTGAGGCAGAAGGATCACTCTTCTGATAAGTCCCTCACTCAAATTCTCAGTGCAGCAAAATCAAACAAAAGTAACAACAACAACAACAACAACCCCACAACAACATCCATTTATTCCAAAGCTTTTAGTACCAAGACGAAACTAAGCTGTTTCTCTGTCTCTTTTAGCGACTCACAATAGAAGCGTAATGGCTGAGTTTCCCAGAATGTCTAGTTCTCCTAGGAGTTCTGTAGCTTCGGCTGCACAAGCCATATCCCTGTTGTTCTGGATCCTGTCACCAACTCACAAGGAAAGTAACTGCATGTGAGCAGTCAGTTTATGCCTCTGGCTTCTGTTTTCTTGAGCACATCCTGCATACACAGCAAGCTCTGGGCCTTTCAGGATCAGAACCCTGATGCTCCTTCATGCAGTGTGGTCTGGCCCTCAAGCTAGAGTTGAACACAACGCCAACCAAGATCAACTGTATTTCGACAGATTTCACATCAGTAAGCCTGAGAAATGAGCAAAAGAGAGAGAGACAAATTAACCCAAAGCAATTTCAAGGAATGGAAAACAAAGGTGAGAGCAGAGAGAGGAAAACAATAGGAAAAAGTCACAGCAATAAAACTTTGTGGAAGGCTGGCCTGATAACTCAGCTGACTAAAGCGCCTGCTCAGACAGAGCGCAGCAGCCGGGGTTTGATCTCCAGCATACTGAGCAGGCCCCGTCTGTGGGGCACACTGAGATGGTGACTGAGACTGGGCATGGTGGCCTGCACCTGTAACACCAGAATTTTGGAGGCTGAAAATAGGACAATCACTACGAGTCCGATCTATGTAGTGAGACCCTGTAGACCCCATAGACCGTGACCTAATTTCAGGAAAAAAAAATTTGTGGAAGACTGGATGTCCTTCAAGACAAGCTGTGAAGGAAGGCCTGTGCTGTCTTGTGGGTAGGATACACAACATGCTCCTCCAACTCTAACTAAGAGCTAACATCAGGGCCCGCGAGATAGCTCAGAGGTCTAAAGCACCTGCTCAGGCAAGCTTGGCAAGCATGCAGGGACCTAGATTCAGTCTTGGACACCACACGCCTCATCAGCCCCATCTCTACCTCCAGGGTGGGCTGAGCCAGCCATCAAAAAAGAAAGAAAGAGTTAACATAAGATACTACCGGTTAGAGGGTTCAGTCCCCAGATTAACCCCACTTCAAGGGTCAAGGGTCAACAAAACGGGTTCCAAGAGCAACCCTGCTTGTAAGCGAGTCACAAACTGTGGTTCCTTGCTATGAGGCTTGGCGATGGGCCCAAGGACTCACGGGAACTCAGACAGCACTCTGGTTATATGCACTTCTTTATCATGAAGGTGGCAACTCAGATGAGCCAAGTGGAAGATACATCTACCAGTCCCTCGATGAGGTGACACAAGCACCCTGCAGTGCAGCTCCTCATTAGCATACATTTATGCATGGCCCAGAGGGCCAACTGGGAATAACCCAGGACACCCCTGTCACTGAGGAACAGAGACAAAGATCTGATACATTTTTAATTACATTCACAAGAAGAAAGCAGGAAAGGGCAGAGGGACAAGCCCAGTGAAGGCGCTCCCACCGCAGCCACCGCTGGCCTAATGGGGAGCTCTGGAATCAGAGGGATCCTTCAGAGACACCCCACTTTGGCCCAGCATGGTCAGCTCTCCACTGTCCTGCACAAACGTGAGGTGCCTCAGGATGGAGTTTGACACTGCAGAAGCTGCAGCCTCTGCAGCAGAGTTCAGGTGGGAAGGGCTGACACGTGACAGCCGCCTCCTAGAGGACTCCTAGCAGCTGGGCTAAGGTCCCCTTCCAGGAAGAGAGACCTGGGAGACCCAGTGCAGGGTCCACTACAGACTCACCAGGGAGGAGGGAGCCGGGCACATGTACAGCAATCCAAACAGTCATAGATGAACTGAGGGACTAATTCGACAGTGCTCCCAGCCTGCAGGGTGAACCAGAGCAAGCAGAGACCATCCCCCGGCTGAGGGGTGCTATGACAAATACTTGGGATAGCCCATTTGTGAGGAAGAAACATTTAATTTTGCTCAGAGTGGTGAGGGCTCCAATGTTCAGGGGCACCCCTTGCTTTTTGGGCCTCTGGTGGGTTGGACATGGCAACCACGAAGAGCACATGGTAGAGTAAAACTACTCCTTCATAGCCAGGATGCGGAAAAGAGAAGAAGACAAGGGACTGGGTTTCCTGTCTGCTTCTAAGGCCCATCCTCAGGGACCTGGGGTCCTCTCCCTGGGCAGGGCACCTCGTGGTAGCACCACGATTGGGTACAAAGCCTTTTACAGGGGAGCCTCTGGGAGAAAGTGCATCAAGACTGCTGCATGACTCCAGCAAAAATGGATACCAGAGACACGATAGTATGTTCTCTAATGCTGTAAATTAAACAATCTCATTGTATCTACGTATACAAAATAGGATAGATATATGGCTACTTTCTCTTAATTCAGTGAGAAGGAAGATTTGTACTGATAGTGCTTGTGGACAGGATATCATGTCTGCACCTTGTACTATGAATAACCACTATGAAGACAACAATAGGCAATGTAGTAATTATTGAAAACTGTCCTATTAATTTGTTTTGAAACTGCCTCATTGCTATTTGTTTCTCAATAAAATTAATAAAATCAATCAATTAATTAATTAATCGCCCAAATGAACTAATCCACTATTCAAACAAAAGCCTCGAGAAATAAAATTGTGTATAAGTCCATTAAAATTTAAAACTGTAAGTATGTGTATGGTGCAGCTAAGATGGTGTTGAGAGGGAAATTCGTAGCACTACAGATTCTTTCCTGAACAGCTAGGCTGCGAAGCCCAATGGGGTTGTTCCCGGTACTTCCCCACAAACTTGCGACTAAGCTGCTTACCTGATCTTCCAAGTCAGTAGAATTAAGGAAACAATAGCCAATTTTTCCAAACAAGTTTTAACCCTTGTTAAAGCACCTGAGTGCTTTCTGCCTTAACCCTTAAAAAATGAACTCTTCAATTTTTTTATTTTTTAAAGAATACAAAATAGTATTTAAAAGCATCAGAAATGACACACAAAATTTCATTAAACAAAGTAATAGGAATTCAACAATGGTTGCTGTATTGCATGATGTTATCTTCGAATTAGTTGTTTAGGTTACCAGATACAAGCCCAATTTTTTTAAAAAAGCACAAAACAATAACAAAAAGAAAGCTATAAGAAATTTAAAAAGAAAAAAAATAGCATAAAAATTTAAGCCTTAAGTGCTCCTTTCAATAGACTAGCAGAAGTCAGCAGTACAATTATCCAAACTATCCTGCATAATACGTGAATACAACTTTTTCCTTTTTTTCTTTTGTCCTTTTCATCCCAGTTTTTCCTTACCATTGAACATATTATTTCCCTTTCCCAGTATCTGTCATACCTTTCACATTTTATTTATTCTTTCAGGTTCTCACACTAGTGAGGTAATACGATATTTGCCCACGAGGGTCTGATTTATTTCACTTACCAATACAGTCTCTAGTTGCATCCATTTATCTATAAAAATGTCGAATTATATTTTTAATAGCTGAATAATACTCCATTGTGTAAAAATACCACATCTTTTTAAAATCCATCCTCAGCTGATGGGTGTTTGGGTTGTTTCCAAGATTTAACTATGAGAAATTGCTATAAACGTGGGTGCACATATATCTCTGTGATATAATGATTTCAGTTCTTTTGGAAAAAATACCCAAGAGGGAACTAGCTGGCTTGAATGGGACCTCCCATCTTAGCTTTTTGAAGAATCTCCACATACAAAATATGCACTTATTTGTCCACTATTTGGTCTCCTTGACCTCATGACTGATCCACGTCTTATTATTCCTTTGTTCTTCAAGCCCTTCTCTGTCTATAAAAAGAAGCTGCCACCAGGCGTCACAGTACACACCTGTGATCCTGGTACTCAGGAGGCTGAGGTGGGCTACAGTAGCAAGTTCAAGTCTAGCCTGAACTACTTAGTGGTGACACCCCGTCTTTCCAAGAAGACAACCGTCCTTGCTATTGCTTCCTTGGTAGTACCATTGAAATATTCACTCTACTTCAGAGAATGAAGACTTGCAGAATTTTAGAAGCAAACATAAAGAAAACAATCTTTAAATTGTTCTACCTTTGTGGTTGGCAGAAGATTTTTAAAAATCAGCAATCTAAGTTTCTTCCTCAAGAAATGAGAACTAGAGCTAGTGAAATAGCTTAGCGGACTAAGCACCCACCTAGGCAAGCACAGGGACCAGGCTTCGATCCCTGGCACCTCATGCCACATCGGCTCTGGCCTGGGGCTCAATGAGCCAGCCTCAGAGACCGGGTGTGATGGCGCATACTTGTAGCACTGGGGAGGCTGAAAACAGGAGGGTCACTGCGAGTCTCATCTGCCTAGTGAGACCCTATACCAAATACAAAAAAAGAGAGAGAGAAATGAGAACTAGAACACAAACAATGAAAGGGAGTCTGAAGAAGAAAATAAAGAAGATAAGAGCAGAAGTCAATGAAGTTGAAAAGAAGAAAATGAGGGAGAAAACCACTGAAATGAAAACCTCTCTCAGGCTGACTATGAGATGGAATTTGGCTTGGAAATTGTCTGTGGAGGGGCTCTTTTGGACTCAACAGAGGTAGAAGAGGCAGGACGTTTGTGGTGTATTTTCCACATGAGGCAACCTGCGATTTTGATACTGAGTACCTGAAGTTAACATCGCGTCTTACAAGCTGGGGAACCCAGTTATCCCGGACTGTCCTACTTCAGATGCCAGACAAAGAGCTGCTCAGGATGCAGATTCCCTCCATGCAAACCACAAGTTGTAGATTCGAACAACTTCTTGGGTGTGATCGTTTTCTAGGTGAGTGACCGAACTGAGAAAAACACTTCATTTATATTTATTGGTTTATTATAAAGGATACAACTCAGAAACACCCAAAATTGGGGGAAATACAGAGAACTAGGAAGGAACCGGGAATTTTCATGGTGTGTCAGTGCCCTCTGCAGGGGTGCCCCCCTCCAGAACCTCATCTGCTCAACAACCTGTGTGGTCATCAAATCTCATTGCCAAAGAGTTTTTATGGAGCTGTCTCCATCCACCATCCTTCCTGGAGACTGACCGATGGGACAGGAAGTTTCGGCCCTTTCAATCACCTATTGGGTTTTTCTGGTGACCCACCCCATCTGAGAGGGTCAGTCTCCACTCGTGTCACTTCCCTACCATAAATTCAGGCATGGTCAGAGAGGCTCATTAAGAATAGCAAAAGACACAGACAAAGACCAAGCGGCAATTGGGCAGAAAGATAAGTCAAGCAAAGAGGGTATGACAGCAGCCACTAGCAGCCATCGTGGGAGCTCTGGAACATTTGGTCCTTCAGTGGTGCCCCTGTTGGCCCAGCACACCCAGATCTTTATCATCTTGGACCTCATCCCACATGGACTCCTCTAGGAAATACCCTGGCTTTGGAGATGCTTCCTGTAGCACAGTATAGGCGGGGAGTGACTGACAGATGGTAGCTGCCTCCCATAGAACTCACATCAGCGGGATCAGTGTGTCCTTTCTTGAAGAAAGATCTAGGAGGCCCGCCTCGGGTCCAGAAGTTGGTTCACTAAGAAAGGAGCCAGGATGTTTGTACACCATCTCCATAGAGTTACGACTGATTAGGGGCATCCTTTTCCTGGTGCTGCCAGCCTGCAGGATGAGCCATGGCAAAGGGTCCCAGGGGAGTCAGTTGGGTGTTCAGTAGTTTAAAAGGAAAGTACGCAGGGTTGGGCTAAAGTCCCAGGGGGATGTGGCAGCCTTTGCCCAGGGCAATGCCAACTCTCTGGCCTGAGTGATGAAGACAAGATGGATTAAGGGACCACACCCAGCCCCTAAGCATGTCCCTTCAAAGGTGGACTAGAAACACGACCTCCAAGCAAGGAGGAAAGAAGGAAGATGAAAGTGTCCTCACCCTGCTGTTGAGAGCTCGGTCAAAGGAACTCACATCAGTGCAGTAAATCCTTCCACCCACAGGGACACTGGAATCTCAGGGGCTGAAGAGAAAGACCAGACTTCACATGTCAGAGCAGGAGGCTGCAGGCCTCTTGCAGATCCAGAATTTCTGGCGTTCACATTTTCCGTCATTCCAGCCATTGCCTCTAAACTCCGCACAGTCTTCCTTCCCGTCGTTGTTGGGCTCCCCTGGTAGCCAATACTTCGTGAACCTGCAAAACCCATGAGACTGTGATCCTCGGCCCCAGATTTCCCCCCCGTATGGGCTGTATGTCCAGCTCTGGAAACTGGATCCTTCCCCATCCGTCCTGCAGACGTGTGGCAGACATACTTTGCTTTTTTTTTTTTTTTTTTCAGAACCGGGGGTTGAACTCAGGCCCTTGTGCTTGCCAGGGAAGCACTTATTCCACTGAGCCATCTCCCCAGCCCCAACATACTTTGCTTTGACCACCCAGTGATATACATAAGTCACTCGTCTTTGGCTGCTGATCCATGTCCCCATGTCTGAGAAGTGGCTTTTTTTCTAGGGGTGTGATTTTCAGATACAAACCAAGCAATCTACATTAAACACCACCATCCACTTCTCTTGTTGGACTTTTTCACTCTTGGCCACTGTACACCTGCCAAGGTCCAGCTACCAGACCACAAGAGACAGCAGCTTCAACTCCAGATCCACCTATATTAGAAAATCACTAACCTAAGTCATCTGTGTCTCAGAGATTCCTCCTCCTGGACATCATGTGGGAGGCTCTTGTCCACAGTTTTGTCACCCTCTGGACTGTCCTATCTTTTTCTCTTTGACCTCTTATGATGTGACCTCTACTCTTTCTCCAAGAACACGTGAGCATAAAAGCTGCCTTTTACATGGAAAATTTCTCCTGAGGTTTGGGCTTATTATACCTCAGATTTCCTATTAATCTGATACATTTTTAGTCACTTACCTGGCTGGGAGCTCCCCCTGCAGCTCTTATGGTGGAATTTTAGGTACCTGCTGCCCTACCTGCATTTGAGTTTACACCATCTGCCTCAAGTCAGTAAGTGTCACAGACTCCAATGACTAGGGGCTGGGGAGTGTGGAGGAACCAAAGGGTATCTAAGCCACAGTTTCAGGGTCCTAACCTATAACCTGTGCTACATGATGGTCCCTTCACCCATGATCTACCTGAACCACAGATGCGAACCATCCAACCAGTGCCATATGCCTTCTTTTTTCAGATCCGAGAGTCCCATCCAGGTGGGGCCTCTGTTCTTCGAATTCAGCTGCAGGAAGTTCTGGAGGGTGAGAGGAGGCGTCAGAAGGGAGTTCCATTGCCAGCTTTTCAGGTAGTATCTCCTCATCCTCTTGGGAGGAAATGCTACTTGTGGTTTGACCTCTAACCTTCTTCTGCACTAGACCAGGAGCTCCCTCGAGTACTCAGGAGCTCTGATCCTTTTGACATCTGTTTTATATTGGCAGACGTGTTCCGAATCGCACACAGAATAAGTACTGCTGTTCCTGCCTCACCTGCCCTTGGAGATATACATATTTATCTCATAGCATGTCCTTGGAAACTTGGTGGAACCTTGTGCTTGCCGGGCAGGCACTTAGACTACTGAGCTCTCCCCCAGCCCATCTGCTCCTCACTTGATCGGTCATGAAATCCATGACCAGGCCGAGCTCTCGCCAAGGTACCTGCTCCTCAGGACTCTTGATGACGACCAACTGGGCCCTCATTTCCTGGCAGGCTGCAACAGAGTCACTCCAGTTCAGCCTGGAGTCGGAGAAGAAGTAACAGTTGCTTTGGAAGAACGTCCAGTCCCAGGAGCAGGGGCGGCATAGACGGCCTGTTTGGGGAAGTGGGCTTCTGTTTTGTTGGCCACATCTCTGTCTGCCTAGCTGTCAAGGCCCTGAGACTCAGGCCCTCCCTTGATGCTTCCCCTGAAGGAACCATTTTACTCTCTACTTCGAAGCCCCATCCTTACCCTTGAAGAACCCAGGAGTCCTGGCTCCATCTCCTCCAAATGAGGAGCAGTAATTTGAGCTCAGAACTGGGTCTGGACATGGAGTGCCTGCTGCACCCATGGACCCTTGAGAAACAAAAGTGTGTATTTTCTGTTACCTTATGTTCCTGCTTTGCAGGTGAGGAAACTGAGACTCAGACTTGGTGGATGACTTAGGCTGCAGGGCCCTGGGGACCCTGGCGTGCAATCACTCACCTATGCCAATCTTCAGCTGGCTCATTTCCTTATTGATCTTTTGTTTCACCTGCTTCTGCTCCTGGTAGTTGGGGACCTTTGAGACTGTACCAAGTTTAAAAAAAAAAAGCTCCAATTATTAAACACACACTGTGTGCCTTGGCTTGTACTGGGCCCCAAGGACATCCAGTCTGAGAGTCACTGCCTTGTTTGATACCATCTGAAGAAGAAACCTACCCTCAAAGAAGGCTCAACAGCCAGGGTAAGGCTAATCAGCACCTCCCTGTCCCTCCTCGCTCTGCTTCCAAGCAGCAGAGGCCCGAGGAGTCTGGGGAAGTCTACAGCGTCTGGGGCTGGTGCCAGCCCCACTGCTTCACTGGCCTGGCTGCCGGTGCTGGAAGCGTGTCGCCTGAGGTGTTCCCTACCTTTCACAAGGACAACCACCAGGATCATAGCGAAGAGAGTGAGGAAGAACAGCTGCAGCACAAGGGCTACCGAGCCCCGGCCCAGGCCCCCTGCGGGAGAAGGGAGGATGGGGAGGTCGAGCATGCCTTGGCCTCTTCCTTGCAGCTGCAACTCCTTCTCCCTTAAGCACTGCATTCTAGAGCCTCGGGGTCTACCTCCCCTGGAGCAAGGAGTCCAGCTCCCATGTCCCTTCTTAAAACCAAGCATCCACATCCAGATCTACCCATAAGTCTTCATCCACGAGACCAGAAGCCCAGGTACCCAGACTCTATTACTCTACCACCCAGGTGTCCAAATCTTCTGCTTTCACTTTCTTAGGACCCAAGAGTCCAGGCCTCACTGTCCACTCCACAGTGCCCAGGAGTCTAAGTCTCTGCCTCCCCAGCTCTCAGGATACTGGCCCCTCAGTCTTATCTCCCCGGGACCATGAATAAAGACCCCACTCCCAGTCCCTAGCACCCAGAAGACCAGATTCCTAACCTCCACTCCTCAGGACAGGAATTTGTGGGGACCTGTGTTCTCCTGCCCACCCCTAAGGTTGGGCTACCTGCGATGTTCCTGAGGCCAAAAGCTGGTCGGGATCCAAAGCCTTTTATGAAATATCTGGTGCCACCGGGTATGAGCTCTTCCTCATCTGAACGGGCCAAGCATCAGTCAGGGCCTGGATGGGCTGAGACCCCAGCTGACCTCCCTGCACCCCTCCCTGAGCTCCCAGTGTCCCTTCCCAGCCTCACCCAGGGGGCCCAGCTGCGTTGCCTTGGCTTCCTTGCAGTCTGTCATTTTCGCCGCCGTCCCTAAATGCTGAAGACCAGTGGGAACCGCAGCTTTTATCCCCACCTCCTGTTCTTCACTTCCCAAACCAAGTCTCACACAGGAAGAGAAACAGGGAACTGGGTGCCAGCACAGGAAGTAAAGAGATGGAAGGGCCTGTGTCTGAGAGTGCTCCTAGAGTTCCAGGAACTTCGGGCAAGGGCCAGAGGTGGCTTGAGCCCGGCGTACTTCCATGATGGCCAAACTTTGATGATTCAGACCTTGTGAAGAGAGGCTCCTTTATTACACCTGCTCCACCCGTAGTACAGCTGGGCATGCAGCACCCTCCAGTCTTCGCAGAAACAATGTCCCCTCCGACTGCAGATTCTGTCGCCCTGGTGTGCTGATGTACTCACTCACAGTGCCTTTTGCTGACTTGGGACTCGGGGGTGAATCACAATTGCTTGTATTTCCTTGTTGCTGACCAGCATGAAGGCGCTTTTCCACAGCCTTATTTTCATCCATTCAACAGCCTCCTCCACTCTTTGGTAGATGATGGGACCTCCATTTTTCATTGGGGGCAATTTGGAACACAGAGAGGTTGGGTGACGCTCAAGCTCACACAGCTGGTAAAAAAGAACAGAGCTGGGAAGTGATCCTGCAGTCGGCCCTCACAATTTCCCTGCAAACCATCGAGGCAAAAAGTCACTAAAAGAAAATGAAGAGATTCCCAGAAACCATTTTCTTGGTGGTAGGACAGATTAAGTGACATCGTAGTGGGGGAATTCCCCTTTTTTGACATGCAGGGCTCTGAGCTGTTCCTACGTACCTGTGTGTCTCCTGTCTTTTTCTGCCCCAGGAACTGTGCATTTTGAAGTCCATTCCTCCTCCCAATTTTGTACGCTGGGGTTTGAGCCCAGGACTTCATCCATGTCAACCACGCCCTTCCCCACTGAGCCACACCCAGGCCCCAAGCTGGCCCTTTAACCCATGTTCTGTCTTGGTCTATTTTCTATTGCTGTACTAGAATATCTGAAAATGAGAAATTTATCATGGGGACAAATTTATTTATGGAATGGTCTGGAGACTGGAATAGAAGGCAGCATCTTCCCAGGGCTGTCTGGTGCCTCCTAAGGAGAAGGAAAATTGGGAATCTAAGCTGGTTTGTGCAAGAGGAGGGGTCTCGCTCTGTAACTGCGCCGTCTCTCAGGGCTAGCCCAGTCCTCCTATGAAAGGAGGGCCTCTGGTCAGCAGTGTGAAGAGATAATCCACATAAATGTTTGCCAGGTACTCCTCAGACAGAGGACTCACTCCAGAATATACAAAGAACTTGAGAACAGTAAAGCACCTAAAACAAAGACCCAGTCAAGACCCAGGCAAGAGAGTTGAACAGACACCTCATAGCAGAAGTGCTCCAAGGGCTCCAGCATGAGGGGTGAGGAAGAGGAGAAAGGGAAATACGGTAAGATATGCCACGTGAGCTGATGTCCCCCAATTCAGGTATAAACATCATCTGCCATGACGTGAGCTAAGACAAATGATCCCAACAAGAATGAAAAAGGGATCAGGGAAACCAGAGGGAGGGGTGAGGAGTGGGCAAGGGGTTCAAAGAAGAAGTTAAAAGTTGCTACGTACATTTAACCCCTCCCCAGGTGACTGTAAACTACATGAATTGCAAACCTGTGCTAATGAAAAAGGCCAGAGCCAGCTGAGACACTCTGACATAACTCATCTACTTGTACAAAACAATAGTAGAACAGACACAAGATAGGTGCTTCTTTTCCAAAGGAGCAGGTAGTATAAAAGGAAAATGGTGACAAGTCCCGAGGGAGTCCAGACCCCAGTAGGGCACGTGTTACACCTTGATTCCAGAGCAGAGTTTCACGTGAGGTGCTGCCTCTTGGACACTTTTTTGCTCGGGTCTAGAGACTTTGCAGGGGACTGAGATTAATTGTGGCCAACTGACCTGGTAGAAGAAATGCCAGGGCAGTCTGAAGTTGAGCCAGTCACCAACTTGGCTCAGAGATGATTTTAGCCACATCTCTGTTGAAAATCAAGAGCAAAGAGCCCAGCAGAATGACTTGAAGAGTTGTGAGCTGGTCAGAAAGGAAGCTCTAGTAAAGCTGTGGCCTGCAAAGACAGAGCAGAGGTGAACCTGGCTGTTGAAAATATTAGCAATAGAAAACCAAGAATTTCAGAAGAAGGCAGTAGCAACACGGACCTAGGGCATCCTAAGAATCAGCAGGACACTACTCTTTAAGTGGAGGACTACAGGAATCCTCAGGGACGAGCTCAGTGTATTTTGAGTGAAAGGATTCACATAAGTTTTGGGGGTCAGGGTTGGAATGGCATGGTTTACATCTAACTAGCCCTCCAAAGTCTCATGAGCTCACAAGTGGGGCTTTCTGAGGTAGCTGGATCTAAGGGGTGTGAGTTTGAATCAAGGGTGCGTGATGACTAAATTAGCCCACTGATTGGTTTAGCACAGCTCTGGGTGTGGGGAGTGGGAGGCCCCACCCTGGGGCTTGGAGTCTGTTGGAATAAAAGAGAGGATGGAGGCGGGTTTGTTGCTGGCTGCTGACGCCACTTCCTGCCTCCCTAGCCATGGACCGCTTCTCCTCTGTGGTCCCCACCTACCATGCCACCCTGCCCTGGAGCCAGTCTCTTACAGACTGATGCCTCTACAAACCGAGCCAAACTAAACCCTTCCTCCCCTAACTCGTGTGTGTTGAGTATTTTGTCTCAAGGATGAGAAAAGCAACTAAGACATTATCCTAAAATCACTTCTCATACAAAGAATAACCAACCAAATTGTGAAGATCTCATGGCTTACTACCTCAGATTTAAAGACTAGTGGAAGTTTATATGAGCCTTTCCAACATGGCAATAAACCCAAGAAACTTAAGAGATCATTAAGATTCAAAGGAATCCTAGGTTAAAAATTTTGTCCTCACTTAAAAATTAGTTGAAAAAAATACACAAGAGTGCCATTCTCCAGAAAATAACTTTTATGAATAGCTGTAGAAGTGAAACACCTTTTTTATGCTTTAAAATACTGCTGAGAGTTTTTCAACGCAGAATTAAATGCCATTAAAGATACCATCGTCCTCTCATCTAGCTCTCTTGTTATTGAGGGAAATACCGTAAGGCAGGTAGGTGCGTTGGAATCACAGACTGAACACGGTTGGCTTCTAAGACAATCTGCGATGTGCAGAATTGTCCTGACACATTAAAGAGCCGCTGAGTCCCTCTCACTTTTCTGGCTTGTAGAAGAATTCAGTTGTTGAGTGCCCCCTAGAGGGCGGCCCAGGCACTGCGCACTTGAGTAAAATTCAATTCCCTCTTCGCAGGTGGTGGGTCCTCCAGCTCTTTCCCAGCTTTTTTCTCCGGAGCTGTTTCTTCCTCCAGGGACGATACGTCCCAGTCATCCTCATCCACGTCTATGCACTTCAGTTCATCTTGTGTTTCTTCTTTGGCCGCCAACACTTCAATGTGGTTAATCCCAGCGTCTGGTTCATTCACATTTCTGTGATGGGGAGCGCTTTCTACTGTTTCAGTGAGTGTTTGCCTGTAGGTGCCCGCGGGCTTGGGACAAACGTCGGAGTCCTCGGTTTTACTTCCATCTGTCCACTCTGTGCCACTTTTGACCGTGACCTTTCTGATGTCGTCCTTGTTGCTTCGCGCATGCGGTGACACTGGGGACATGTATGTCTGGACGGCGTCACCTTCATCCAGGTCCTCTTCTAAGCTGAAGGGAGTCATCAAAGTGGTTGGAGACTGCCTAGGATGGTGATCTACGACAGTCTTCTTAATTCTGGGAACAGCCGTCTTGCCAGCAAAAACAGATCTTTGTCTACCCAGCTGTCTGTCTGGGGGAGGAGGCTGCATTGCTGTGGGGACTTCTTCAGCAAGATGGATATCCATTTGACAGCCACTGTCCCTTCCTGAGGACAGTAATGCACTCTCCTCAATTTTGCAGTTGAGCTTATGTTCAAGGAACTCTCGGATTTGCTGCCTGTTTGCCATTTGCCTTTCTCGCCGGTGTCTTTTTGACTCCACGGCACTCATCACAGCCCTCAAGCGGTCACTTGGGATGCCGTGCTCGTGTGCATCAATACCCAAGGCTTGCAGCTCCTCCACCAAGCTCTGTTCCAGGAGTGCTCTGATCTCCTCTGTGCGGGTAGGTTTTGCCTTCAGTGCTTTCCTTACGTTTCTCTTGTAGGTGGATTTCCATTCACGTCCCCTTCCTTTCGCTTCCTCTGCAAACTCATCTACTGGCTCCAGCGCATGTGACAAGAATGCTCGTTGGTGTGGCATTGTTAGATTGGATTTGGCTTCCAGAGTCTGAGGGGCTGAGACATTTGCAGCTCCAGCGGGGGCGGCTGCCTTAGATTCAAAAGCTTCCCAGGGTAAAGAGTTCCCGGTGAGTCCACAGACACCGCGGCGGGGCTTAGCGGCAAAGCCTTGAAGCTGCTGCCTTTGAGTGACAATCAGCTCATTCTGCTCCTGGAACTTCTGGCAGAGCTCTTCCATCCCGTTCTTGTACAAGTCATTACTTGCGTTTAGATGGTTTAACATGGAACTCTGAAGCCTCTCGATGTGCGCCAGCAGCTGAGCCCTTTCTCGCTTGTGCTCCTGGTGGAAAGCCTGGAGGCAGGCTGTCCACTTGCTTTCCTGGCTACTGAGAAGCTGCATTATGCTTTGGAAATCCTGGGCACAGGAGAGGTCGCCTTCCGTCTCGCGGACGTCCTCCAGCGTGCCTATGTTGGACGTGATCTGCATGTTACACCTCTGGATTTCTGATAATTGATATTCTAAGGCCGAATTCTTGGAAGCTAATTCTTTAAACTCCCTCAGAAACATTTCCTTGACTTTTTCCACCTCCTCCACTAGTTTCTCCTTCACTTCTCTCCACGAATCAAGTAACGTCAGAAAGTCGTGTCCCTTGGAGGGGCTGACCTCGGGTGCCCGCTGGGAAGCTTCCACCTGAGCCCTGGTCACCTGCAACTGGTCCTTCAGTGCGTCGATCT